GAGCCCCAGTCCAGCCAGGTGAGCCGGATCCAGGTGAGCCGGATCCAGGTGAGCCGGATCCAGGTGTGTCAGATCCGGGTGAGCCCGGTCCAGGTGAGCTCCCCCCTCAGCCAGGTGTGTCAGATCCAGGTGAGCTGGATCCAGGTGAGCCCCCCTAGATCCAGGTGAGCCCGGTCCAGGTGAGCCCGGTCCAGGTGAGCCCAAGCCAGGTGAGCCCAAGCCAGGTGAGCCAGATCCAGGTGTGTCAGATCCAGGTGAGCTCCCCTAGATCCAGGTGAGCCCGGTCCAGGTGAGCCCAAGCCAGGTGAGCCCAGTCCAGGTGTGTCAGATCCAGGTGAGCCCAGTCCAGGTGTGTCAGATCCAGGTGAGCTCCCCTAGATCCAGGTGAGCCCGGTCCAGGTGAGCCGGATCCAGGTGAGCTCCCCCCGATCCAGGTGAGCTGGATCCAGGTGTGTCAGATCCAGGTGAGCCCAGTCCAGGTGTGTCAGATCCAGGTGAGCCGGATCCAGGTGAGCCCGGTCCAGGTGAGCCGGATCCAGGTGAGCTCCCCCCGATCCAGGTGTGTCAGATCCAGGTGAGTCCCAGCCAGGTGAGCCCCTGCCAATCCAGGTGAACACCCCCCCCCCCACCCCCCCCAAAACCCCTGCAAATCCATGGAAATCCCCCCCAGTCCCCCAGAAATCCCCCAAAATTCCCCCAAAATTTCCCCCAAAATTCCCCAAAATTCCCAAAATTCCCCCAGGTCCCACCTGGCTCTCACCTGGATTCAAGAGCCCAAAAATTCCCAAAAAAAATCCCCAAAAATTCCCCAAAATTCCCCAAATCTCACCTGGATCGTGGCCACGCCCCCTCCCAGCACCTGGAACTCACCTGGATCCAAAAATTCCCCCAAAATTCCCCAAAAAATTCCCCAAAATTCCCCCAGATCTCACCTGGATCCAAAAATTCCCAAAAATTTCCCCAAAATCTCACCTGGATCCCAAATGCCAAAATTTCCCCCAAAATTCCCCAAAATTTCCCCCAAAATCCCAAAAATTCCCCCAACCCCCCAAAAAAACCCCAAAACAACAAAAAAAAACCCCAAAACCCTCCAAAATTTCCCCAAAATTTCCCCAAAATTCCCCCAAATTCCCCAAAATTGCCTCATGTTTTCCCAAAAATTCCCCCAAATCCCCCAAATTTCCCAAATTTTCCCCAAATCTCCCCAAAATTACCTAAATATTCCCCAAGTCCCCCCAAATTCCCAAAAATAAAAGAATCCCCAAAATTTTCCCAAATCTCCCCAACATTTTCCCAAATTCCCCCAAATTTCCCCCAAATCCCCAAAATTCTCAAAAAAATTCGCAGAAAATTCCCCAAATTTTCTTAAATAGTCCCCAAAAATTCCACCAACATTTTCCCCAAAATTCCCCCCAAAATCCCAAAAATTTCCCCAAAATTCCCACATTTTCCCCAAATTTCCCCAAAAATTCCGCAAAATT